CTTTTTGTGGCCATACCCCAGACAGCGGAAACACCTTTGGACATCCGTGCGCTCTCGGAGGCGGCAGATAATCCAACCTACTCGCAGCTTCCCCTTTTCAATAAGAGTCCGGCCTGGCAGTTCGTAGATTTCCACCACAGCCATTCTTTGTTCTCGCGAGTTTACAGCGAGGAGAGAGACGCGAAGTTGGCCATTCATCTTGTCTCCTAACTCCCACGTATAGCGTTCTCCACTTCTGGGGCCGTGGTTAGGCAGTCCATGCCCAGAACTTCTAGACGTAAACGTCTAGTGAGAATACGGGCGTATCCAAGCTGGCCAATGGCAGTGCACACATTTTCCTTAAATGCTGAGTGGGTCGCCACAGCGCTCCATTTCGATGAGCACGCCGCCTTCGCGGGTTTTCCGAACAGATCAAATTATGGTCTCCGTCTTTTCGATTGGAGCTTACCACGTATCGTTCCCAGCACCTCTGCATAGGTTTTGCCTTCAGCTGGCTTAATGATTTATTTGGCGAGACTCTTCTTTTTTCTCACCCTCTTCTTTTTTTGCGGCTGGTCGCCTCGCCCTTATTGACCAAGGGTTCACCTGGCGCTCGCCCTGGCTTGGGCTTTCTGCTTTTTCCAACCGTTTTCCATTGATTATCTGGTACGGTTACCTGTGCATTAATATCTTTATTTCCATTATTATTATTACCATTATTAATAATAATCTTATTACTAGTATTATTATTATAGTTAGTGTTCTTTTTCTTTTCCGGCTCGCCTGTAGGGGAGTCGGATCGAGTTCGACCTCTCTTTTGCGAGCCAGGGCCAGCCTTCCGCAGCTCGGAAAGGGTAGACCCCTTCCGGCGCTGCTCTCGGAGGTAGCTTAATATATTTAAGCTCTCCTCGATTTGGGCCATACCCGTTTTTATGTCCATGGACTCATTCTTCTGCTTAGAGACAGCGCTCTGCATCTTCTTCAAGACGAGCCGAATCTGGGCCAATTGCTCATCTTCATTGCCTTCGCAATTTCCCAAGCTTGCAGTGACATGCTTGTCGCTGTTTGCAGCAGCCGGCGTTTGAAGACGACTATCCCGGCTGCCGGGAGCTGCCGTTTGGCAAGCTGTAGCCTTCTGCGCCACGTCGGCGGCTTTCTCCGTGCTCGTGGTGCCGGCATTTGCCTGCAGAGGAGTTTGTGGCGGGGAGCGCACGACTCTACTGCTCTTCCTGAATGCGCTGCATTCTTCCTCCATAACATCGACGTTGGTTTCATTTATTATTTTTTTTTTTAATATTTTTATTGAGCTTTGTACCACGATTGTTTATTAGGAAAAATTGAAAAAGCAACAAAGTCTAAGCGGTAGAAGTTATAGCCCTATTTCGGAGATCACCACATCTCCTCATCAAACTTCTTTTTTCTAGACTTCAGCAGGAATCGAACCTGCGAATTCGATGTTCAAAGTCAGAAGCGTTAACCACTGAGC